ATTTCGTTTAAACAATTCAGAAAAATAAATATATAATCTTACTGAAGTGCAAACAATGTTGTATCACAAAGTCCATTTTTAGCAACTATTTATTTAATGATTTTCTGCGATGACGTCAGTAATTTTCTAGAGAGGATGAATAAATAAGTTTTAAACATTAATGTTAATATCTTGTCAATTTCTTGTACATATTTTGGGCTGAATCGAAAAGCATGGAGTACTGATGGTCCCCCACCAAGATTGCAGGGAAAAATAAAAAATCCCGTAGACCAGTAACATTTTTTTTAAGACATTTTTACTGTAACTCCGGAGAAACTGGGTGGCCAAAAATTATTACGACAATCGTGTTTGCGCAGGAATAATACTTTTATCCGGAAAAATAATATAAAAAAGAGTCGGTCACTGGTGACTGGTTTTCAAAATTTTCAAGTTCTCAAATTTTGTTATATGTATTTCATTTTGGTGATTTTGGAATATGATGGAAATGAAGTCGTAAAAAATTTCTGGATGTCGAAATCAATAAAAGAAATACTTTTCATTTTCGTTGTTTCTAAAAAAAAGCAAAACATGTCATACTTATTAGTGAAAAATTGAGCTATTGGGGAAGTTGTCTAAAATCCAAAAAATCCACAAATAAGCCAGCAAACTATAACCTCAAGCAGATTAACAAATTTTGAGATTACGTCAACCAGATTTTGGAAGGGATGAACAGATGACTTGAAGTCCTTTTTATATCTCGATCGATAGTTAATTATAGTTTGTCCAGATAAAAATACTGTACTAATTTAGTGTTGTTTGGAAAAACGAAGCCACCGAAAAACAAAGAGCGTTAATTTAATTCTAAATTTATCTCATTTCTCCACATAGAGTTCCTAATGTAACTTATTTAGCACGGCTTTGGCAACTCCTTTGTCTCCATTTTTATAGTCACCTTGTCATTAAATTGATATTTTATGATTGATCGACCAACTATAAATTGTTACTGATTTTCAACAGTAATTTTCAAAAAATTAAAAACCTTTTCGCTGATTATTTCTATAAAATTTCCTTTCTCCTTCGTCCCAAGGAATCGCTCCCGTCTGAACAATATCTCGACCTTCCTCAGCTCCAAACGTACGCTAATTTAGATTAATCGGAAGCAATTTACGCTGCCATTATGGTTATTTATACCCTAAACCGCACTATTGATTTGTTTGTTTCAAATTTCAATCAAGTTCCGCACACACAACGTGTTAATTACAAATGACGTGTTGTACGAGCTGCGATTAATCTGACTGATGACCTGTTGCGAAAAAAAATTGATCTAAACTCACGAGACCGCGAATTTTATTGATTTAAGTTTTATTAAGATTGATGGAAGGCGTTGAAAGTGGCGCAGGAGATTTATATGACGTCTGCGAAAATATTTTGACGTTGTTTGTGTACAGTGAAGTGACGCAGATTCGTAACGGACTTATTTTTTATATGTTATTATTACTTTAAATTTATTCTGGGCTGTGCTAAATAAACTCGACTGCAACTTCTGAAGAGTGTGCTGAGAATATTAAGTTCACGGTGAACGGTGTGGTTGCGCTATTTTTACACGTCACGATGACAAGCGTGCTCGTTGACCAATCGGAGTGGAGTTTTGTACAAATGATGGTGATCCTGTGTGCATTGATCCGACATAGGTATAAACGTAAAACTTGCACGTTTTTGTTTCCTATTTAATGCATTTTATGCATATCGCGAAACCTATTACACCAAAATCAATAACTGGCTCATGTAAACACCATCAGTTTAATGGTGGCGTGATTTTTGTAATAAAGTGTGTGATGGTTATTATTTGGTGTGATTTGATACGAAAAGCCGTAATATCTGTTATAATTAGTTTCAACCAACAGATGAAGAGGCTTTTACTTTATCTAAACCAAATAGCTGCCATTCGTTTTCGCGTGTTTGACTAAACTTAGTTCAAAAATATATTTTCGCAGGTCGTATTGTTAATTTTTTATTGCAAACAATGTTTACAATGTTAAGAGAATCTTAATGTTATTTTACGCGGCCATAATTTCTTGCAAAGAGCGAAAACTAAGTACCGGAAAGTGTGGTTGGATTTTTTGAGTTTTAGTAGTCGCACTGTTTGGAATCGTAAACAGCGAAAACTACATAGTGTTTTAATGTCTTTTATACACATTGTTAAAGATTTAGGTCACTAAAAATAACCAAGCCCTAAATATTCATTCATTTCAAGTTGCAATTTGATCCTGACACTTGGTTTCTACCGTATGCATAACAGTGAAGTAATACTGTGATAAATTAATTAAACAATAATTTATCAGCGGCGGTTTATTTTTCATTCCTGTCTCAAAAGAAACATCTGAGCAATTATTCTAGGAGTATCTGTAAATAAAGAAACTTTCCTGAAAGCCGATTTCACGTTTGAAACACATTTGAAGTTTATAAGATTTTGGTTTTTAAAATTACCTCGGTGTTTGAAAAGTGTTTATAATTTTCCCGTTTTTGGTATTTTAAGTCTGATTATGAAAGAGTTATTTTCGTTAGGTACGCACGCTAAATGTTTCTATTAGTCTCAGACACAACGCATAACATAAACCAATTTACGCGATGACAAACAAAATTTTGGCGCTTTCCCACATTACGCTTCATTGACGTTTGCAGTCACACCTTTCTTCACGCAATGGAATCTTTAACATTATGAAAATAATATGTTTACGAGCAATGTAAATGTGTAGCTGTCCGAGCCAAAAAATGACTATATTTATCATTTATGTATAGCTCGAACGAAATAAATAGGTGATTTAAAATTAACCGTGCATATCGTAACATAAATTTCAATTATGCACCTCTTATACAGAGCAAACTAGACACATACATTTTTAATTTCAGTATTCTCAGAAGCCTTGCGATTTCAAATTTCAAGGCGTTTGTATATATAGAATTTTATATTTAAAGAATAGTGCAGCAGTGTAACACACTCCAGCCATCAGATAACTAAATTCATTAAAAGATTTCTGTAGAAACGAAAACCAGTAAGAGGTAAAATAATAATTTACATAGAAAGAGCGAAGAAGGAAATTAAATTCTAGAACTCCAGTATATTTAATTATTTTACAAGATTGTGCAAGAAGTTAAGGAGTTTTCAAGTTTTACCATGTCTTATATAACTGTAAAGAAATGTTCTATTCCTTCAGAATGAGCTTTTATGATTATCAAACCAAAATGATTTTCGTTTTGGGCCTTTGCATCCTTCTTTAAGGGGCTAGACTGGACCTAATTAGATCTAACCAGATTCGACCTGACATAACCTGACCTAACCTGACTTGACCTGACTTGATCTGACCTTCATTATTTGGGGTGTTGGGTAGTATGCATATTTATTCATGTTCAATTTTCTAAAAGTTAGCTTCCCTTTTATTTAGTTTCAATCAATTTTTTGCCAATAAGATTCTCTAGATACTTTGTATAAATCTTGGCAGGCGCGGATACAGGATTTCGTTTGGGGGGGGGGGGGGGTAATTTTTGTGCGATTTTACCTATCTCCCAGAAATTGGGTCTAAACAAAAAAAATATTATAAAATTTTAGCTAGTATACTCTTTTTCATATAACATGGGTGACATTTGGTTGTTTTAGTTACACGTATAGTGTACAGTAGAACCTCGATAATCCGAATTAATTGGGAAAAAGGTGTGTTCGTATTAACGATTTGTTCGGATCAGCGATTTTCCCACAAATCTGAAAGGGAATTGAATAACAACTTCATACACAGTTGAAAACAAATTTCAAGAAATAAACCATAATTTTATTAAACAAAATTAAAGAATCCTTTTTGGAATCAACACGCCGGAATCTATACCCTGAATTTTTTCAGAATTTTTAGACGAATTTTTCAAAAATGAAATTTTCCATTGTGTATTACCACCATTTTGCAAATTTCGACCCATTCTCGACGATTTTCGGAATTTAACTGAATACATTTTCTTGTAGATTCTGGCTTCATTTCTTCGATAACTTAAACCGTTTTTATAGATTCGTCTAGCTGAAATATCGCAATTTCTAAAAATTTCGAAAAATTCGAATTTCACACCGAATTTTCCGAAAATATTGCTCGGTTACCATTAACACAGCACGTCGGGATATACATATATCTCTGAATTTTTTCAGAATTTTTAGGAAACTTTTTCAAAAATAAAATTTCCCTCATGCAAATTTCGACCTATTTTCGACGATTTTCGAAATTTAACCAAATACTTTTTCTTGTACATTTCGGGCCTCATTTCTTCGATAACTTCAACCTTTTTTCCAGAATTAGTTAATCAATTCAGTGCATTGAAATATCGCAATTTTTAAAAATTTCAAAATATTCTATACAACATATGCAGAAAGATCTTGCGTCATTTTTGCAAGTAAGTGCGTGTTTCCAAGTTCAGTTCGGATTGCAGAGTTTTTGTTCGGATTAAAGAAGCATCGACTTCAAATAGCCTCTGTTCGGATTACTGGATGTTCGGATAATCGTGAATTCGGATTATAGAGGTTGTACTGTATTTACAAAATGAAATGCGATTTCAAAATTTTGAAATTGGTCAAAATAAACTACCTCGGTCGTGTGTGGGGGGGGGGGGGGGGAATTGCACCCATTGCCCCCCCCCCCCTGGATCCGCGCCTGAATCTTGGTTACGCTTTTGTAGGTAATTCTATTGCATTTTCGATCGGTTCAATGGCACCTTAAATTTAACAGATGTTATAGCAGAAATTTTGAACTTTTGATAAAACAAACACATTTTATATAAAATAATAACAACAAACTGTAATAAAAAATCCAAGCAGTAATAATTTTGACATACTAATAAAAACATTCATTTTTATTACCTTCGCAGTTGCCAAAACAAAAAGTTACGCTCGAGTTAAATCATTTATGTTCAAGTCAACTATCATCCAATTTATCAATGTTAATTTCAGCCAAAACACATGAATCTCAAGCATTTCTTTTTATTTTCAGGTGCATTTCTTATTCCCTTCATCATAATGTTAATCCTAGAGGGCATCCCTCTCTTCCTGATCGAGCTGGGCATCGGTCAAAAAATGAGATTAGGATCTCTAGGTGTCTGGAACACGATCCACCCTTGGCTGGGTGGAATAGGGATCGCTTCCTGCCTGGTCACGTTTTTCGTAGCCCTCTACTATAACGTCATAATAACATGGTGCTTTTATTACTTATTCAACAGCTTTCAGGTAAGTTCGCACACACTATAAATAAGGGTCGCGAAAAAGGGGTTCCTCGAAACGAATCAATATTTCCGTCTGGTGCTTCAAAAAGTCTTACATACTTAATTTCAGCACTATTGGAAATTGGCAACGAAAGAGTAAAAACAGTTATAAGTTCGCTCGTGAATAATAAAAAATCGGCAGATTTATTTTAGACACCTGGGGTGTCCCTGATGCCCTCGTCGTGCAATTCCGAACTCCCATAAAATACGCCACACGCGGAAAAAGAAACGACACCGTAAGCCCAAAAGCTCTGAGCTTATTTAAAATTTATCGAATAGCACAAACCGCAACGCCACTGCCTCAACCTTGACTCTGTTTACCCGCTCACCTTTTTTCACAACGTCCAAATATATCACAGCGCCAATTGACAAAATAAACGCGCCAAAAATAACCCAAAATCCCAAAATCCATTCACGACTCGCCGTGACACTATAAAATTAAATTAAATACGCGCTTCATTCATAAAAGCGGCGTTCGCCAAAGCCGAACAATTGGAATGTTTGATAAAAGCTCCGAGCTTGTGTGGCTAACTGAGCACGAGACAGACGAAAGTGGCAATGATGGATCTGGCTTTTTGCGTACGCTTTACCTTTACATAATTTCAGGCGACGCGTTGTTGCGGCCAAAGTTTGGAATGCACGTCAGAGTGCTGTCATTTTTAACGTGTTTGTCACTTGAGTGTATTTTTCGCGGTGACACGAAGGCCACAGTATGCGCCAACATTTTTGGCACCTTCAAAGCTCGTTTTGGAGTTTTCGCCAAAAGGGACAGAAAAGTTCTTGTACTCTGTCACAATCTAAAATTATTCTTCGTTGCTGAAACCTTCCTAAATATACGCAACCATTTGAATTTGTAACTTCACACGTCAGATATAAATGTCCCAAAGTAATAATTTTCCCTCTAAAACACATTACAACCCATTTATGAACACTAAACATCAAGATTTTTTTTTAACAACATTCTCATAAGCGGAGATTACATGCATGATGGTACTGCATTAAACTGTAACTGTACTTGTACCATTAATAAAAATGAAAAATAATAAAGGACCAATTATAGATCCTTGAAGAACATTAGATGTATTATTGTGGCAAAATAACATCTAGTAAGTGCCATTTTTGCTTCAGTACCCCCTCCCGTGGGAAAACTGTCCCGTCGAAAACGGTACCGTCGTCGAAGAATGCGACCGATCGTCCGCCACGGCATACTTCTGGTACCGAACGACCCTCGACTCCGCCGTATCCATTGACGAGCCCGGTGCCCCCAAATGGTGGATCGTCCTCTGTCTCCTTCTGTCGTGGATCATCGTGTTCTTCATAATGATGAAAGGAATCCAAAGTTCCGGAAAGGTACACCAGATCCTATAGGTACTGTGCAAAAAAAAACATTCTTCATTTCAAGGTTGTGTATTTCACCTCCATGTTCCCGTACCTGGTCCTCACCATCTTCTTCATCCGAGGCATCACTCTCAAGGGCGCTAGCGCCGGCCTGGCCCACATGTACACACCCAAAGTCGTGAAACTGCTCGATCCGAAAGTCTGGCTCGAAGCCGCCACCCAGGTGTTCTACTCGTTCGGGCTAGCTTTCGGGTCTCTGATAGCCTTCGGATCGTACAACCCTCCTAAGAATAACTGCGTAAGGGATGTGATTTTGGTGTCTATTTGTAATGCCATCACCGCGATTTATGCCAGCGTGGTGATCTTCGCTATTCTGGGTTTCAAGGCTGTGAGCAACGTCGACAAATGTATACTGGAGTAAGTGATAAATTTGTGATAACAGATACTAGAGGATGATTTTGCAGCAACAAGCAATTCTTGATCAATAACGGACACTTCGCCAACATGAAACCGTCGGAGATTTCTGAGGTGTCGTACACCGAGGCACTCAAGGCCATAAACAGCTCCCAAATTCGGGAATGTTCTCTGGCTGCAGAACTAGACGGAGTTCGTATTTTTAATTTTTGTTGGATTTGTGTTAAAAGTGTGTTGTAGGCCGCCCAAGGGACCGGTTTAGCCTTTATCGTCTTCACCCAAGCCATCGTCGAGCTTCCAGGTGCTCCCTTCTGGGCTGTGATATTCTTCATGATGCTTCTATCGCTCGGAATCGGCTCCCAAATCGGTATCCTCGAAGGCATGCTGTGCACGATCTTCGATATAGAACTCCTCAAAAGAATCAGGAAACAATATATCACCGGTAAGTGTGTTTTGTTCGACGAAACGCGATCAATTTAGGTTTCCGTAGCTTTCGTTTGCGTCGTCTGCTTCTTCATCGGTCTAATCTTCACGACGGGAGCTGGTGAATACTGGCTCAACATGTTCGATTCGTTTGCTGCTACCATAGGGTTGGTCGTGGTGGCCCTGCTAGAAATGATCTCCGTTATCTACATCTATGGACACGAAAAATTCACCAAGGATATATACGAGATGACCGGTGTTAAACCCGGGATCTACTGGCAAGTGACTTGGAGGTTTCTGGCGCCCATCATCATGGCCGTCATCCTGGTAGCGTCGATAGTGGCCATGGTGGAGAAGCATCCGACGTACGACGCCTGGAGCCCGAAAAAGGTAACCCCAAAATTCCAATATCTCTGTCTTTGCTACCCAAAAAAATAGTTCGATGTATTATCTTTGGATGGATACCTTATACAAATTTGACTGTTAACAACGATTTATGTCTTGTTTTAACTTGTTCAGTAGAGCCATCAATCCTATCGAACTGTTGCAACTGTTTAGTCTGAATTGTTCGACGACAACTCTCAGGAGTAATCCAGTTTCCTTCACTCAGTTGCACAAACTTTAAGTTTTATCATCAATAGCGAAACTAAGAAGAGAAATAAACACATGTGACCTAGATCCATTAGGAACATCTTTAACTAAATTCTAAATTAGGTTAAAGCACTTATGAAATATGATATAATTACTTACATATTTCAGTAAAGGCCAGATTAGGTCAGGTAGTTCTATCTACTGTGCAAATCTAAAGATGGTTTTCTTAAATGAACATTATTATTACTGTTATTATTAAATCGTCTGTTTGATTTCTCTTTCAGGGTAACGTCGTGAGCACCGAGTATCCTGGCTGGGTCCTAGCCATTGCCGTCACCATGATCGCCGCAGGGGTGCTTCCGATCCCCATCGTTTTCCTCCTGCGTCGCTACCAGTGCTTGAAGATGGACATCAACATCCACGAGGGCTCCATCAGGAGAATAGACACCACCGTGTCCACCAAAGAAATGATAACAGACGTGGACGTAAGTGCTTTTTCTTTCTGTGCCTTCTAACACTCGCTAACTTCTTCGATTCGGGTGCCGTAATTCTAACGTAGTAGCTAACTTCAATTTAATTGGTTAGGAGCAATTAACAAGTCCGGACGGACCGTGTATCACTGCTACCAACACGCTCAAAAATAAATTTACTATCGGAGATTTCGAAGTTTAAAGTAAGTAAAGTAGACTACTGGATGGAATTTAATTAGGTGCTGGAACCTGCATGCTTGCGCTTTCCTAACTTCTTACAATGGGCTGGAATTGAGTTTGTCGTAGGCGGAACTTGAGTATAACGAAAAGTTTGAACTAAAGTTATGCAAAAGTTCTAGAGCATGTTTTGCATGCTGGCGTCGAATTGGCTTTAACTCATCGGGGTTTGCTTCCAGCTGGACGACGATGAGGATGTGAGTCCGTTGGGACAGTACCATGACGACGATTCGGACGACGATGGGCCTCAAGTCAATAGCCGTCTAGGAAAAAGCTTTCGTATGGAAGTTATAGATGATTATTGAAAAGAGATGTCTTTATCCTTAGATGATTGTAGACGAAATGTGATATTTTCAATATAGTCGAAACCTAGTGATGTTTACTAAAGTAGAGTAGTTGAAGAGATGTTGAAAGCCCGACGTTGGTGCTAAGTACCAAGCGAGCGGTTTTATTTTGCCCTCGAAACGTCGAAAAACGATCTGATTTCTGGGAAAAGAATAAACGGGTTTTTAGTCGCTGAAATTTTTGCTGATAGTTTTCTAACGCGTTATTGGCTGCTACTAAACAAAATATTGGGATTTCTTGCAATTAAATATAACCAGAAAATCCACAGGGGGTTCTTCTCGATAAGACCAGTAGGCAACATTGTAACAAGAAAAGGGTGAAATAAGACTGACTTTTGCGTACCTACTAATTCTAATAAAATTAAAATTAAAATATTTGTTCCTACTTAACCAAAAAGCACTCCCCTTCAGCTCGATTTCGTCCTTATCTTCCCACGTTTCGAATTTCATAGCTTTGTCACCAGAAAATCAAAACAACTTCGCGAGACATCTCTGAACAATAATTACTTGTTATTAGCTTTAGGTTAGTTGTTGTAAACAATTATTGGTGTACTTTACAATGTAAATAGTGTAAATACGAGTAATTATTTAATTTTAGATCAGCAAATGTATTTCTGTAAATGAGTTAAACATTTGTTCATACCGGTTTATAGTATAGTGCCAAAATGTTGTAAATCGGACAATATTTATTCGTGAAAGCAAATGTGATGCGTAGGTTGAGCGTTCAAGAGAAATTTACAACATTGGCGAATACTATAGTAAATCAAGCAAAGCTTGTTGATATTAGGTAGCTGCCTAAAGCGGCGTGTTCTCAGACAGTTCCCATTCTCTCTCTCTCTTTCTAAAAGTGAGAGAGATGAGGCTTGTACGAGCATACGCCACTGGAATAAGCTTGACGCGCCTCAGAGGCGTACGATAGGCCAATTAAAGATTGTCTTTCTATTAAAAATCCGTCATAGGTACTATGCTAGAAATGTTAAACTGAAAACACAAACGTATTTTTAGTTCAAGATTTTTGCTAGGTGCGGCGTTGGCGAATCTTCAGTAGAAAGCGCTCTAAACGTGTTGAACGAAGAAACAATAATTAATGTTTAAAAATACTCAGTAGAATCATCTTTTTTATTTTGTATCATTTCTCATCGATTTTTTTCGAATAAAAGCAGCCTTTTTTAGCACATTTTTCATTTGTCCATGCACGTAGACCCCATTTCGAAACTGTGTGTGCCTCGATTCAACAATATACTAGCTTAAAGTTCAAACCCAGTGTTGCCAACCCTGATTCTTCCAGAGCGGATCACCACTGCGTTTGACTGTTTTGTATCTGATTTGAATGTTGAATTTTGAGATTTTACGGTTTTTTTAAATGTTGCACACTTGAACATGTTGCACACAATCGAAAATTGTTATTGCTGTGACAAGTGTGGTCACTGTCCCCACGTGTATGTTTGGTTGCCTACTCCACACATGTCGCAGGGTATTTTTTTGAAAAAGTACAATTCAGATTTGCTCAGAAAATAAGTTTAGGGTTATTTTCTGACTGTGAGGTAGCCGTATAGGGTACATTTTCACGATTCTTAGAACTGGCGTAGGGGATTTTCCGATTAGAAGCGGGGGTAACCCGGCTGCTTCAGTAATACAGAGTTTAGTTGATTTTAGTGAGAGAGCATGTCTAGGGTTAATAACGCAAGACTGTTGTAAGAATTGTTTATTATTAAAGATTCTTATGTAAGACGAAGGAAATTGTGTATTTAGAAATAAAAAAAGCATCAAAAGTAAATGTTTTGTGGTTGTTTGACCTTACAGTAAGCGAGACAGTTTTTCGTAAATGGGTGGGTAAACTCCATTTAGTAAAGTGGGAAAATTACAAAAGACATTAATAGAGTTCTGCTGTTAATTGTTTTGTGCAGGACCTACCTTGTATTGAGTATCGGCTGAATAACGAAATGACTAATGAACTTGGCGGTGGCCATGTAAATGTTTACTGATGCGTCGCCATTGGATGTTTACGTCGATTAAAATTATGCAATAGGAACAGTTAGATACTTGCCAAAATAGTGGCAGCATACGTATTTTACGCACAATTTTGAAATTACGAAGATTTTTTGTTTGTTATATCTACATGTATTATCTTTTATTCCTTTTGTTGACTTTTTATCAAATTCACTCCATGTGTTCTGTATGCCATATATTTAAAAAATCGTGTCTGAAATCTCTATATTGAATGTCATTGTTTCATAAATGCGATACCAAACCCTTGAAGCATATTTCAACTGAGATCTTATGAACGCAAAATACGTACTCTTAACTACAAGAATGACATCAATTTCCCTACACTAGGAAATTATACCACCCAGAGATTTTAAATGCTGCATCTATAATGAAATTAATATGATATACAAAACCCAATTTGTATTGTAATTAAAATTAACACCCAAATCACACACAAGAGCTTTTCTTTCCATAACAATTATCAAGGCAAAAATCTCAAATTACATGTTATCGGCTTTTCTTTATCACTGAGGTAATTTTCAAAACACCAGTTAAATATGATTTCAATATTGTTTTGAAGTTTTCCAGACTTATGTGCAGATTTAATTTCAACAAAAACATTTATATCATCGGCAAGCACACTCTTTGCAAAAAGATTTTTTTCCACACCTTTAAAAACAAAACACTACAGGTCCGCGACAGGTTTTGAACTTCTTTCAAAAATAAAACACCAGGACCACCAACGACTCGTTTTTATCAGTCTTAAACAAAATTAGGAATGAACTGTTAATCTACAGAGATTTTCATAAAAAACTTTGTGATGTTGTCAACAACTTTGTAGCAGAGACAAATGGATCAATTTCCGTAGGTACAGTGTAATACTAATAACAGTAATACTCTATTCTCACAATAAACTAAGGTAAGCAATAAACTTTAATCAATAATTTGTTGTGAGACATCTTTCAAAGCAATTCTATCTAAACACACTGATAAAGTGCAAACATAGACCCCATATTAAGATATTCTTACGAAAGAAACCCATACACCGCCCCGGTACGACGCCTATGGGTTCTAGTATGTACGGCGATGATGACTCATCAAAGAAAAGCCTGGAAGCGGAAGTCGCGATGGGCAATCCAGAAAGACTTCGACTGCGGAACTATGGCTTTAAATAGGGGTCACCTTCGGGAACGATTATTATTCAGTCACCGAGTCGAGTCCAGCGAGTGCCGAGAAAATCCAGACAAGTTGCGCCGCAATTATTTTGTACATAATCGTTTTGTAATTAGTCGTGTGAATTTGAGTTACTAAGAAATAATTTGTTGAGTTTATTAACCCACGCCGATTTTAAGTACCCGCTCAACGTAACAATATTTTAATTTTAGCACATTTTGTTGGAAGCACTTGTTAGTGTTAACACCATTTTAATACAATTTTCGAGCTATAACAGTTTAACATTAAACAACCAAAGAATAATATAAACACATAGAACAAGAATTATTATCTATACTTGTATACTTATATAATAAAGCTGAAGCTTTTGTTTATTTGAACACGCTAATCTCAGAAACTACTGGTTCAAATTCAAAACATCTTTTTGTGTTGGATAGTCCATGTATCATATCTACATATAGGCTAATAACATCAGGCTACGATCATTAGGACCAAAGTAGCAATGAAAAATTCGGAAAAACGGGAAAATTATTCCTCCTTTGACAGCTTCCGTTGCTTACGCTGCTTAAACGGTTAAAGTTACATAAAAATCATGTATGACGAAATTGTTCCCCTCTAAAAGTTCTAAAGAAAAGTCCCCTACAGCATATGTCTATCTTTTAAGGTCGAGTCAGTATGACCTTTTTTATGGTAATGAAATTTGTTCTAAAATAATAATGCATTATGTATAAAATTCTCGCGTCACAGTGTTTGTAACCGAACTTCTCCGAAATGGGTTGACCGATTTGTATGAAATTTTTTTAGTATATTGGGTAGGTCTGACAATAGGTTGTAAACTATTTTTTAAACCCCTAAGTGATAAGGGTGGCCCACCCTAAAAAATTTTTGTCTATTTTTTGGACAAATTTTTTTATTTTTATTTTTTTAAGATTTGGAATCAAAAAATATACATAACCCTAAATTTTCACCTTTCTACCACCAACCCCCATTTTTTAATCGTCTATAAAATAAAAATCAATTGCTGTTCCTGTTAGTCTCGCTAAGACTCAAAAACGGCTTAACCGATTTGAAAAATTTTTTATATTACGGGGATGGTTTATAAATAAAAAAATAAGGATAACTTAAAAGAACAGTTAAAAAATAAAAAAATTCTAAAAATTTTGTATGAGAATCGCCACTTCGAATTAATTTCAATAGTTGGCGTTTCTGACGGACCTGTCGTCTAACTGACGTGTCATACAAAACTAATTCTTCCGTGCGATTGTGAAAAGTATATTGCATTTCAAATCGTTCTTTGTTTTTTCGTAAAAAAAACGTCGTTTATTTTAAGAAAAGTCTTGGTTAAAGTGAATTTAATTACACATTGCGAAAGTTTCTTATTCATTTTGATCCTGCCATTCTATTTACCTATATTCACTTTGTTGGTTTCGACAAAACCTCAAACTTTACCGTTATTCGAGGATTTAATTTGAAGTTTTCAATATTTTAAAATTCTCAAGACAAAATTTACAGATTTGATTGACTGTGAAAATAATTCTGTGTCGTTTTATGAAGTTCATTAAAATGATCAGAAGACGACAAGGTCACATAGGTCCACGAAGTCAACCAAATGTGCGACGAACTACCTCAGGTGCAAACCGCAATGATTTATTTCATGGGTAATTCGGATATGGAAGTTGATCAGCGTTGTGCTCATAATCAATATAATCAAACATTGAAGCGAGAGATTGGGTGGTATGAATAAAACTGAGTGGATACTCATATTCGAAGTACGAAGTACCTACTTCATTATTACTCTTATATACTGAGCATGAGCATCTACTCTATGTACTGAGTACCTACTTGGAAACATTGTATCTCCCCGGACACAAACTGAACATCTACGCGTTTTGTGAGCATTTAATCTAGAAACGAGCATCGGCGTGGCAAATAACTGAGCTGTCTGTAAAGCAGGTTAGAAAACCAGTAGGATCGTTGTAAAAGTGAATTTTAAGTAAACATGGTGACTTTCATGATCGTGGAACGTCGTCAAAAGGTGCATTCAGTTTGAAAAACACATTAGGAGCAGGAATATCGAAAACTTTTCATGTAATTAACTTTTATTTATGCATAAATTGTGCAGTGCGTTTTTTCTAACACTGGCCATAGAGATTCCCATCTCAAGGTGTCTACCCCATACTAACTTATATTTTGGTGACTCGATTTTTGCCTTGATGGGTGAACACTGTCACTGTTGTCATTTTTTGTTGTATCGAGATGCTACTTGAGCATCAACTGTTACTTACTGAAGTATTAGTATCATCTCGAAAATCTAGAAATATTTTGATTTGATATTCGAGTAGATACTTCGTATTTCGAGTATGAGCATCTACTGAGTTTTATTTATATCAACCATTGTCAAAAAATTGATCGACCGTTTTTTCGACAGAACTTCCTTCGCACCAAAAGTATAATGAAACATATTCAGCATTTTCGAGTTGAGTCTTTTCTTCACACAATTTTGTGATGACCTAATCAACATTTACTATCAACACGTATACCACCTTGGATTGGTGCAGTGTAATACTAAAAATAACTGTATTTTATTCCCAAAATTATCTGCGAAAATCGAGTGAGCCATTCCATCAATTTTTTGGGGGGAATAAATAAATATTCTTAACAATTTACCATGCTTACAATAACTTTAAAACGTCTGTAAGATCTCAAAGTATTCATTTTTGCAACTCTTGAGTTATTCACTAAAATAAATTGACTGATCCATATATTTTTTTGTCATTGTAAAAGCAAATCTAAAAAATATGAATGCAATGATAAATTACGAAAATATACTGATGATGTTTTCCACATTTTAGATAGGATTTATTCGGCAAAATCTTGAGATGACGTCTTCAAGTTTTTGGGCTTGATAAACAGATATATTTTGATTGAAAACCCACCATGTCAAACAGTAACTTCAAAACATCTGCAATATTTCAAAATTCAGTTTTGCAATTCTTGATTCAATCAATAAAATAAATTGACTCAGTGACTAATTTTTTTGGGAAACCCCCTATAAGCAAAACTAAAAAATATGAATGGAATGATAAATCACAAGTATAGTCTCACCCTATTTTGGACATTTTAGATAGGATTCATTTGGCAAAATTTTGGGCTGACGTCATCAATTTTTTGGAGGGGATAAGTAAATATATTTTGAATAAAAATTCATTATGCTTATCATATGTTTAAAACATCTGCAAGATTTCAAAGCATTCGATTTTGCAGATTCAAAATTAAATTGTAGGTGAAACGAAGTTCACGGGATCAGCTAGTTATGGATAAAGATGACCAGACAACATTCAACACACATATATCATCTCTAACAATTTGTACATGTTTACGAGTTGCAAGTAAGACCATGCGGAACACTCTCTTTATTAGTCAAAAGTTTTATAATCATCAGAAAATTCCCGTTGTCATTATCTCCCTAATTTTACCAAAAAAGCTAAATTTCTTGATGTCTGTAATTAAATAAAACGAAACATTTATTTAATTACAACGAAGGCCAAGGAAATAATAATTGATTTACCTCGAAGAAAAACATATTACAATGCATTGTACAACCAATACATTAGA